TGTAAATTTTCGATGCTGGCACACCAGGTCGTCGTTGGACAGGCGGGAAATGTACACAGAAGAGTGCGCATTTTTAAACACCTATAAAATCAATAATGCTGCGTCATCCTTGGTCAATAGCAGGTTGTGTTGGTTGACACCTTTTCCAGGCTTCTTTCAGGTTGATGAATATCGAATCTAATTCAATGTGCCTATTGATGCATGATTCGGCAGAGTTAATAGCCTCTAAAAATTCGCGGCCTTTCCTATATGGGCAGGAACCTACTATGCAGGTTTGGTTCCATGCAAACTGGTGCCCACTTTCAATCGAACGCATGGTGACTTCGGACAGGTGGCCGCGCCTCTTTACTATCAATTAATGTTCATGTGAGCGTGTAGATGCGGACCTTTCTGTTTGTCCACAATAAAGTGCATCGCAGTCGCCGCAAGGAATTTTGTAAACGACCCCCTTTCTGTTCGAATAGCCAACCCTATCCTTAAGCTAATTTCGTATTGTGGTCGTTGGCTTGTGCGCCACATGGATCTGGTACTTCCATAACTCTGACGAATCATGCATCAATAGACACATTGAATTAGATTCGATATTCATCAACCTCAAAGAAGCCTGAAAAAGGTGTCAACCAACACAGCCTGTTATTGACCAAGGATGACAAGGAAGCATTATTGATTTTCCGGTATGTTTAAAAATTCGCACTGTTCTATGCACATTCCCTGCCTCTCCGACTACGACCTGGTGTGGGCCAGCGTCGAAGGTTTACACAATAAAGTTTGTTCACGTTTTCCAAAGAATTTATTCTACCAAATTTTCATAAAACGGCGTTTGCGAAATAGCAGCGTATAACACTTCCGCCGCACTTGTATCATAAAATATTAACCCGGGGCAAAGTTAAAACAAACAAAACGATCTATTGAAATCAAGGAAGTAGGATGCTCATAATGATATAAGTATTAAGCTAGAATTGGTGTTAAAATTAGGGTAGCGCATTAAAACATGATTATCCAGAACTTTCTTGAACACGTTCACTGTGGGAGAATGTGCAAGCTATTTCAACTAAGAGGTTCACTGATGAGAGCAAAAGATGCGATTTAATCCAACCCGGTGGAATTGCTGGTTGAGACGTGTTGGCGAATAAAACGCTTGCTGGAAAATAGTCACCGTAAGCCTAGCCGACGGTCACGGTCTTAGTGGTGCACGATGTCGTCAATTCTATATCTAGCAACGCCATTACCATCCAAGAAAATTGTAAATCTGGATAAAGCAGAAAGCTGGTCGAACACCGAAACAGTTTTTTATTATCTTGAGCTTTCAAATTCGTACAGGAGGTAACATCAGCAACAATAAAGGAGCAATTATAGGAGATATATAACAATCAACTGTCAATGAAGCACGTCTGTGGGTGACTTTGTAGGGCTCTGTACGCCGGCGCAAAATATATTCACCGGTTTCCAGCGTGGGTGAGTATCTCGGTGGCTTTGAAGTTGATCGCATAGCCCGTTTCATAGGTGCGAACAGCAGCTTGGGATAAATCGTCGCCCCGCCATACAACCAGCTTATTTTCATGCATGCTTGATCGGAGCATGCGTTCAGTTTGACCTGTGTAATTACAAGGCCGGCTTAGGCATAGGATGTGATGCAGTTCCCCAGATTGCTCTTTGTGATTAAGCCGGTTAAAGGCGCTCGCCTATCTTACCTCTAAAACGAAACTGGACTGAACTTATTCTTTTAGTAGATAGGCGTATACCGATCAGATACAGGGCACACCCGCCCTGGTTTGTGATGCCCAGTGTTTTCGGGATCCCCCGAATCTTTGCCACATGGCTGCTACACTTGAGTAGAGTATATCCAGTTGACAACGCCTAATGAGGCAGAACTGGTCATTCTGAATTCTCTGTCTTACGGTAATATGTCCTAAAAATGAACTTA